TGGAGTTTAATGAATAGAATGGGTGGAGTGGTACAGGGTGGTGAGCTGCAGAGGAATGAAAGAGGAGACTGAGGATTTGTTAAAACTACATGGCCGTCTGAAATATTTCGCTCACCGCCTCTTGTATATTTTTGTTATATTTTTAATCATTGTGAAGCTTGTTCCATGTAATAAACTCTTTTAATTTAAAAAAATACACTCTTTTAATTTTTTTTTAAAGAAAAATCTATAATATTTTAAACTTTCACAAAAATTAACATATTTTTATTATTAATTTTAAATATAAATTCATAATATTTTATTTTAGATTGAATTGGGTTAATTTTATAACTCAAATATATTTATGGAATATAGTGTAAAATTCAAATTTGAGTTTTTAAAAATTAGGTCGATCCTTATATTATATATTTACTTCTCAAATATTATTAAATTTATTAAATATTTTTAAATTGTTAAATATACATGAATAATAAACAAATAATTTATTTGAAATTAATATTTTAAAAATTGCATATAGAAAATGATGATGATTTTTTTTTATAGGAGAATTCAATAGCCATGAATTTTTCATGGGAATCTCTCGTATAGATGAATTATTTAAATATATATAAATATAAATAAATAAATATATATATATATATATAAATATATATATATAGATATATATATATAAGGGGGAAATTTGAGAAGCAAAGGTGGCAGCTTTATGGTGAAATGCAACCAAAAATAGTCTCAAATATTTCGAGTATGCCTCAACTCCCTTAACTTCTTCCTTGCAATTATCTTGACATTCTTTGTGAAGAACTTAGAGGGAAGTTCTTGTTTTAAGCTCTCCCAAGTGTCCATAGTATATCTACCATCTTGAATGTCCATGTACTTGGATCTCCACCACAACTTTGCATCGTCGACTAGATGCATTGCTAACAGTGAAGGTGGCTCGAAAGTACGATTTGAGGTCGAAGATAAAGTTCTCTATAGTCTTGGCATCTTGAACCCCACAAAAGAGTTTGGGCTCTAGGACCTTTATTTTGTTGAATTGAACTACATCCCCAGTTGGGGTTTGATCCCCCACCGCTCTCATGGAGAGGTTTAGTCTGACGCTCAAATCTTCCACTTCAACCCTAACCACTCCCAGGGTTGTTCTCAAATCCTCAGACATTTATGAGACCATCTAAAAGATCACTTGTTGGGGATTGTTTAAGTTCTCAATGTGTTCATTCATCTAGGTAATGGAGCTTGTCGAGCTTTCCCTATGCTCGAAGTAAGCAGCAGTTGTGGCCTTGTCTTCTAGGGCCTCAACCCTAATCATTAATTTACGGACAAGTATTGTCTTAAGGCGGCCTTTCATCTCGTCAATCTTGTCGGCTTTAGAGGCATTCTCATTCATGTGGGACTTCAAAAGCTCCATTCTTTTAAGAACTTCACTCAGGTAAAGTAACTGATCTTGATCTCTTCCAATTAGTCAGGCAGGGATTTGCCCAATTGTTTTGCAGCGGACATATTTCTGTATTACGATTCAAGAGTAGACTCAGCTCTGATACAACTTATCACAATTGCACTATTGCAGCAGCGGGACAACGATTGTGCTACACTTCTTTGAACTTAGCGAACAAGTCAGACGTGTGAAATTCGGACTTTGCCAACAATGTTGGCATATGCTCAAGCCTCAGGTCACGTTTGAGAGAAATGTGAGTGAGAAAAATACGTTGAAAACAATTTTAAAGAAAGCATGTTATAGGCTAAAAGTAAATAAATAACAATGACGACTTTGATAGCATATAACCCGAGTAGGAAAAATTAACAATTAGTCACATCTCCCTATAGTACATTTTGAGGCATTTTAGCCCTGGCAGGTATAGAAATGATTTTGGTGGCCGGTCATACACCCTCGTATTGGCACAACAAGAATAGTAAATGTATATCTAACATGAAAGCAAGTAAAAAAGGGTATGGAACAATCATAAAACCATGCAAAACACGTCTTAGACAAACATGATCGGGACATTCAACATACAGCTACAAGCAACATGTCTTGGACAAACATGACCATGACACAAGACATCTAGTCATTTTGAAATATAAATATATGACTAAATAGCGTAAAGAACCACCTAAGGAGATGTCCCACAATGAGATATGATGGATAAAACGACCTCGAACAAGCACACCTCACTTCAAGTAGAGCTACTAAATAGAGACCTAGTCCCAAACAACTTTTGGATTTTTGTTCGATGTTGTTTCATTTACCTCGATGATGTATATTCTTCTCTTTGAACGAATCAAAGAAAAATATATAGTTTCAAATCAATAACTATATAGTTTAACCACTAAGTCATAGCTAGAACAGACAAAGACGAAGACAAACAAGCAAACAACCATTGATTGTGGAAGTGGAGGATCGATTATGTTAGGTTCCCTTAAATATTTATTTAGTTTTTTAAAATTAAATTTATAATCGAAAATGATGCGATTTACGAATTAATCGTACATTTCTTTTTTTTAATATCTTTAAAAGATTTTTCGGAGATTCTAATATATCACTTATTTTGTTAGGACTAATATTTAGTTCTAGCTTTAGAATCGCGTTTTTCGTGTCTTTTCTAATTTTTTCAATTTGTTTTAGTATGGTGTTTGTTCTATCAGTCCGATCTTTGATCGTTGTTTCTATCAACGAAAAAGTTCTCCGATCCATAGATCGAATTATAATGGACGAGTCTTGGATCATTCGATTACGTATTATCAAATTTTTTTCTTCATTCAACTCGGATATTTCTTTCAATTCAACTAATCGAATTGGGTTTCTTTGTGAAAGGTTTTTGATGACCCGTTTTTTTGTTTCGTTTAACATATTTATAAACACGTTTANTTTTTTCTTTAAAAGATTTTTCGGAGATTCTAATATATCACTTATTTTGTTAGGACTAATATTTAGTTCTAGCTTTAGAATCGCGTTTTTCGTGTCTTTTCTAACTTTTTTCAATTTACCTCTTATTACTTGACCAAGCAGTGCCTTATCCCAGGTTTCTGATCTTTCTATACATGTTTGTTTCTCTTCCTCCTTGGCTCTTCTTATCATCACCGCTTTTGTTTCATTTTCTAGGTACGCCATTGATAGCCTCTACTCATGTCCTAGCTCGTCTGAGAGCTAAATTTGCCTCGATTGTTTGTCTCTTGCCCTGAGCTTTCCTCAAGTTAGCTTCCGCTAGGTTATTTTGTCTTTATAAGTGTTTTCAAAATTCAAGCTAACTATTAATATATATATTTTTTTTTTATTTTGAAATTTATATTTGTTTTAGAATTTTGTTAGAATTTAAATATTTTTTTAGGATAAAAGAAATTGATGATAGAGAAATGGTGAGAAAATAAATCTCAAATAACATTGAGTCCAATTAAATGATGTTATAGCTTTTTAAAATTTATTTAAATTTTTAGAATTTGTCTGAACAATCAAACTATTGGAGAGAAAGTAGGAGAAAACAAATAGAATTTTAAAAAATAAAAAGCTCAAAATTAAATAATTATTAAATGAGACTTTATCTCAAAAATGGTTTAAAAGATTTCAATAATATTCTTAAACTCGGAAAAAAAAAATCTCAAAGATATTATTAAATTTTTAAAAAAAGTTAAAAAATATCGTCATGAAAAATGCCCATATATTGACGGTAATTTTTTTTTCTTTTTAATAAAAATATTTTTATAATTTTATGTGTATTTTTTAAAGTATAGTACCAACGGTAAATTCTTACTAATAAATGTATTTTTTGAACTTTTTAAAAAAATGTAAGGGTATTAATAAAATATTTTTAAGTTCGAAGATATTTTTAAAACACTATTTTAAACCATCTAAGAATAATAATAGGAATAATTTTTTTGAAGAAAAAGTATAAAGTTTAGGAATATTTTTTTTATTAATTTAGCGTATTAAAATTTAAAAACTTGTTAGAAATTTAATGTGACTCATATTAAACTCATACAATATGATACTTGATTAGTCCACAAAAGTTTAGAAAATAAATTAGGTGACCTAGAAGAAGAAAATAAATAATAATAATAAAAGGAAACAAAATCAAAATTGAAAAGAAAAGGCAACGAAATGAAAATTGAAAATAAATAAAATAAAATAAAATAAAAGGCAACAAAATGAAAAATGAAAAATACAAAATAACTAACTAGACTACACTACACTACAACGGATATCCTAATCATGTCTTTCGGGTGAGAGCCGAATATCCTAACCAAACTAGACTAAACGGATTTGTTGTTTATGAGTATTGAATAAAATATATGATTCATTTTCCTTTTAATTTAAAAAGTATAAGTTGGGAACCTTCCCTCATATTTTGACTATTGTGATAATTTTGAATTCTATTTGTTAAATTTCAACATAAAAAAAAAATATATATATATATATATATAAAATAGAAATCATTTAATAGGGTTACATTTTCAGCTATTAAAAGGTATTAATAGAATTTTTAAAGGTATTATTGAAACAAAGGGAATATAAATAATTATAAGCATTCTTCAGTAAATAAATAAAAAAACACCAGAAGATTTTTGAGAATTTAAAAGAGGAAAATGTCCTAATTTAAAATGAAATAAAGCACAATTTGAAACAAATCGTATGCATCACACGTGCATTATTTAAGTGATTTATGATCCCTAAGTAGCTATTTAAAATTTCTTATTAGAGCTTATTGAAATTTGTTAAACTGTAATTGGTATACCAATGAATGAGATATGCTCGAAATAGTTGAATTGTGTGAATTCAATTATTTAAATAAGGTTGAAGAAGCCAGATAAGGTATTAAGAGTGAAAACCATATCGTGAACTCAATGGAGCCATAGATAATCAAGTAAAATCCAATCAACGAAATACTTTGATCTATGGACAATATCGTTGTGATAAAGGTTGTAATGCCAAAAGAATCATTACCACAAAATCAATTTTCGATGGAATGAAAAAGACATGGTAGAATCGTAATCATAGAATACGACTCTAATCGAAATGCATACATTTATCTCATACACTAGGGAGATTGTGAGAAAAGTCATATTTTACACCCCAAATGGGCTATAATTAGAGATACAATTGTTTATCGTACAAAAATTCCTATAAAAATGGGAAATGTCCTTACTTCCAGTAAATCCAGTTCCATGTGTAGGATACCTATCTAGAAGTTTTTGCAACTCAATCATGTATGATAATGGAATCATCAAATATCTGACCTTTTCAAACTCTGTCTAACTCACTATTGGCTCGAGAAACAAAGAGAAGAAGTGCATAAACGAGATATACAACAGCAAGAAGAAGGAAAATGATTGAGATCATAATGTGAGCTTCCTTCTCCCCTCACCTTCATAACTCCTATCTACATCAAGACTTGGCCCTGCTCTCTCGGGTGATCTTCACCCACTCGTGGCACCCGCATGAAAAGAAAGATTGACAAATAACCCACCACTAGCATATGATATTGTTCTCTTTGGACTTCCTCTTCAAGGACTTCCTGTCAAGGTTTTAAAAGGCGTATGATAGGAAAAAATTTCCACACCCAAATGTTTTATTCCCCTCTCCAACCGATATGTGAGTGTTTCATTTCCCTCTCTAACCAATATGCAATTTTCACGCAATAAAATCCAACCACACTTTGATCATATCTATAAATATATATTTTAAATATTGAAGAGCGATAGGAAGAAAAGACTCAAAGGAAACTGTCTTTGGAGGACTATTATTGAAATTTTGTAAACTTTACACAAAGAGACGCATATAATTAAACAATCAAATGTTGTGCAAAAATTAAAATTAAAAAGGGGTAAGAAATACCTATAAGTAGAGAGAAGCAGCAAAGACAATGTCCCTCTTGATTTTGGAAACAGCCTCTTCAAACTTGGTTTCAAGCTCAGTTTCACCAATGGCCTTTGCTGCCACTATTAGTTGTTGCAAGACTTCCTCCAGTCTTCTAATTGCTCTAACCAAGCTTCCCTCAAAAACCTGCGTTATTTCCATTATCTCATAGAACTTTGATCCTTTTGCCCAACCATACACAACCTCCATAATATCTGCTCTAAATGAATTCACAAACCCTTCCACATCAATCTCTACCTGCAATTTCACAATAACTCCATCTCAATGCTTTAATCCAATGAAAAGTAATAAAAAGGATAGAGTATCAAACAACAATTTGTGGTAACCTTGCATTCAAGCTGAACCTTAGCTACCCTTCGAGCTGTGTCTTGTAATTGAATGAATAGCAGCTCAAGCTCTTCCCTAGGCTTCGCTGCATCCTGAAGTTTCTCTTGCCACACAAAACAAGATAGGAGAGAGATAAGTTCCTCCACTTTAGTGTCATTGAAAACCCCATTCAACATCAGCTCAGAAAGAGTTAATTCATTTGCACTACTGATTTCACAAGCAACCTTGCCTTTCAGTTCCACAACGTCATCACTTGTGATGCAACTGCCATGGGAAAAAACATCAGATACTGCAACTAATTCAATGTATTGTTGTTCTATTATGAAATCAAAACCATCAACCTCAACTAGCAACTTGATGATACGGAAACCCTAGCAATTAAATCTAAGAACTCTCGTAAACGTTCTGGATATGTAAACCCCTAGTTCATAAATGCTAAAACCCCCCAATCAATTTGATTTCATTGCAAATGATTGCAACACTTGAAAATTTGATCTAACAACCTCATCGAAGAATAAGACCTTTGGATATTAATACATCCAAGAATCTCAAGGCAATAAGGAATCGCCCCAAGATACTTGTTGATCGAATATCTCAAGGCAAGAACACTTGTTTGAGATTTGAATCACTCTACAAGCAAAATGGATCAAGTCAAGCTTCAATGGTTCTAAGCATGCAACCTAAACTACATACATTTTCCAAATCTACTTTACAAAGACAATATCTATGGTTTTATATAACCTCAAAAGAAAACCTTTGATCTTCCCTGAAATATTTCCAGAGTTATAACTTTCATATTTTATGACCATCATTAGCCACTATGCAAATGTAACCTTAATGTAAATAAAAACCCTTAAAGTACGTGAAACACCGTAACTCTAAATTATCAACCACTCAAAATTTGTAACCATCTAAGAATAAATATAGTCCATCTTCTTTGAAGTTCATATTGCATGATTTAGATGTCTTGGTTTATACCACACTTTATAATTTCTTAGTACATGGCTTTCAAATATATACCGAGTTCCATTCCCATACTACATTAGTAAGCATAGTAAGCATGGTTGCAATACTTTTTTATCTAAGATTGTATGGAATGTTTATGTATTATGAATAAATAAAAGTTTTTTTTTAAATGGAACAAACTGACAACCTAACCCAACCCAACCCAACCCTGTTGAGTTTGGTTGGGTTGGAAATAATTTATGATTGGGTTAACTTACCAATTTAACCAATCCAAAACTTTGGGTTGATCTAAAAAAATTTCTCAACCCAACCCAACTCGACTCATGTACACACATAATAACCCAATCCAACCATTATAATTCGAATTAGGTCGGTTTGGGTTCTCGGGTTTATTGTACACTTGTACCTTAAAAGAGAGGGGAAAAAGATCAATTACCCAAGCCTCCGCAATACTCGCTTCCTGGCCTTCAGTTCATCTTTGAAAGCCAATGCAGAAGAAGAACGCATTGTTTTCTTAATTGACCTGATCTTAGCTGTCAACTCTTGCTTCAAATGCAATGCTTTGAGCTTCTGCTCAACAAGTGTTGATTTTGCCACCTCATGCTTGTCAAAGAGGTTCTCCAAGGCCTCTGTTCTACGAACTGCCTTTCTGTATGAACTACTTTGAATCTGAACATCACATGCAGTTAAAAATCAAAATCTAGAAAGAAGGCATGGAAGAAGCAAACAGATGCTAGATTATACTTCCAGCCAACGGTTTTCCTTGTACAGACGAGTGAATTAAATTATAAATTTCACTGTACTAACCTAAACCAAAAATCCCCATATCAATGAAAAATGTTTTATCTTAGAATTACGTACTTTCATGTCCTCTTCTGGATCTAGAAGGGGCACACCCTTTGGAAATCTTGATAGAACTTCAGAAATCTTCTTCAATGTATTTTCTCGAGTTTCCAACGGCAAGAGATCATTGGGTATGAGTATCCGAATACCGGCTAGAGTACTGATCTGTTAGTAGACAAGAAAGAAATTATGCATCAAGACGTTATATTGAAATAAATCAAGATGGCGGTCGGCAGAAGCTGTAATAGTTGAAAGAAAATAGATCTCTTGATTGAAAGACATTTTACAGTTACTTGAGCAAATATCAAATCGGAGGGACATAAGGAAAACTGAACAAACTTTAACCTAGATCTTATCTGCAAGTAGTTTCTCAAAAAACCTAGATCTTATCAGTGTCAATCTTGGTAATCTTTGGTCTCTATTCCATTTCTCAACTGTTAGTTCACATGAAGCATGTTCTGATGTGCCTACAATATTTAATCTAACTCCATACCTGAGAGATTGGGATGGAAACAACATGAGGTTCTCCGTGCTCTTTCAATTGAACAATCTTAACAGTTTTTTTCCCTATGGCATCTTTACTGACAACACACCTCGTAAGAACATCCACAGTGTAGTTAGCAGATTCCGGTTTCATGCTAATATCCTCTGTAACAAAAATTGAAGTTCAGATTCAGAGGACTAATAAGCTAAAATTTGAAGGGGGAAAAAAGGAATAAATATGCATGAGAGATTATTGATATTTTACCTTCAGAAACACCTTTCACCCTTTGAAAATTAATCATCAATCCCCACGTAACCTGGTCTTTAATGGAGAAAGTCGAAGAATTCACATCATACCTGTTGCATTCAATAGATACAAGCCTGCCAGGTTGTAGAAATGGCAAGCAGTATCTAGGAGACAACACAATATCATGGATATCCTTTTTCAAACTTTTGTACTGCTTTAGCAAATCATAATAATTTTTCAAACTATCTTCCTCTTCAATCACTATGGAATCCCTCTCCTCTTCAAGGGTTTTCACTTGTTTCTGCAATAATAACTAGAATTAGCATGTCAACTTATATGAAATATATACCACAATATGGTTCCATCTTTCATGTGTTTTATTAAGTTCAACAAATATGTGAAGATCGGATTTAAACCTCTCACCTTTAGTATGAGGTAAAAAGAATTATAGGTAAAAAGATAACTAGACAGGTACGCAAAGTGATAGGTATCTACCAAAAAACAAAAGCATCATTACCATGTTCAACAAATAAAAATCACAGAGGTTAGTGTGAAAAATACGAATAGTTCTTTATCATGTTCAACAAATATTATTCAAGGAACATAGTGTTAAAAAAAAAAGATCTGAAGGATATAAAACAGTATATATATACATATATACATATATAGATGACACATTATTTTGCAATTTCTTGTAACAGATCATCCTTTCCATTTTCAGTTGCCCAGAGTTGGTTCTCTTTGTTTCAACTAATTTCTTTATTTCCAAGCAACCTTATATGTGATGCAAAAACTAACCTCGAGATTAGGTATGTTGCGGTCGGCTTGGAACTGATAGAAGGAATTGCGCAGCAGATTTTCAGGATCGCCATCTTCACAACGGATTTGATTTAAGAGCATATTATAGCTCAAATGGAAAGCACTACAACGAAAAAGATAAGATGTCAGAGCAACTTATTTAAACAACAGAATTGAAAAAAATAAGGTTGTCGACATGGTTACACCCCAAACACAACCCTATAAAAGGCAATTAATAAAAAAACTAAAACTCATCTAGAGTACATCTTAGCAAGTCAAGTATCTTAATGGCTGATATAAATCCGCCAACTAATGCTCCCTTTAATAACCACTTGGATTTTAGTTTTTGGTTTTTAAAAATTTGCCTTTTTTCATCAATTTTCTACAATAAATTTCATCTTTCTTAAGAAAACATTTGAATTCTTAGCCAACTTCCAAAATCCAACAATAAAAATAAGTTTTTTAAAACTGATTTTAATTTTCAAACTTATGCATGAGACTTAGGGATTTACTATAATGATAAAAACAAAAGAAAGAGAGGCTGGTTACAAGTAGATTTCAAGAGCAGCAGCAGCAGGTATGACAATCCTCTCTCTCTCTCTCTCTCTCTCTCTCTCTCTCTCTCTCCCTCTCTC